GGAGAGATGGCTCAGTGGTCTAAAGCACCTACTTGGAACAAGCTCGGCAAAGCACAGGGACCGCGGTTCGATCCTCCAGCACCACATGCCAGCCAGCCGCGCCCCCCTGGTGGGCTGAGCTGGCCACACACACACAATAAATAAATGTTAAAAAAAAGAAAAGCCAAGCACTAGATGGAGGGTGAAATCCAGTTGGGTTATCGTGCTACAGTATTAAGTGACGATATGGATGACCGCTGAGAAAGTAACAATGTGCACTGTATTAATTACTGAAAATGTCCTATTAATCAGCTTGGAAACTGTCTCATTGATATTTCTCAATAAAAGAAAAAAGAAAAAAAGTGATGATATGCAGAAAAATGTTCAACTCACTTTGAAAATAATATCAAGATAGCGGCTTTCACTTTTTGAAATCTTCATGTTTATAAAAATTAAGGTCTAGATCATCCTGCTTCAGCTTCCTTAGTGCTGTAATCACAGGCATGTGACATCATGTCTGGCTTTTCTTTTTGGGGTTTTGCTTTTGTTTTTAAAATAGGGGCTCATGACGTAGTCAAGACAGGCCTTGAACTTGAGGCACTCCTGTTTCAGCCTTGAGTGTTGGGACTCTACTGCGTGTGATGCCCCACCTGGCTTGTTTCTTGACATTATGTTATTTTCTCTTGACACAGAGCTATGCACGTGTGACTTCCTGTTCCTGAACATTCCTCTCATTCTTTTTGGCCACTGAAGTCTTACTCAGCCTTTAGGCTTCAATGGAAAGGATGCAGACCTAAATGAGACTTCTCCAATTCTCCAGATCAGATCCTCCCTGGGCACAGGTCCTTAAAATTATCTTTAACTTTATCCCATCCTTTTCATTAGGTTCTATATTTGCATGGAGATTCTGGTATTTTAGCAGAGAGAGTAAAATGGACATTTAAGGGAGCAGACGTGGGAATCAGATTGCTGGGTTAAAGTCTTGACTCTATCATGTCAAGTCTCCAACTAGCAATGACCTCAAGTTTACTATGTGCCACGGTTTCATCATTTGTAATATTAAGATAATAATACCTGGGCAGGACAGATAGTTCAATGGACTAAAGCGCCTGCTTTGGCAGAGTACAGTGGCTGGTGTTCAATACCTGGAATGCCATGCTGACCCCGCCCCCAGGGCACACTGAGACAGTGATATAGTGGTGCGCGCCTGTAATCCCAGCACTTGGGAGGATGAAAACAGGAGAATCACTACAAGTCCAATCTACATTGTGAGACCCTGTAGACCCTGTACTAAATATATATATATATATAGATATAGATATAGATATAGATATATAGATATAGATAATACCTACCTTAAAGGGCAGGTAAGAACAAGACCATACATGTATAGAGATGAGAACAGGCCTAGCATATATAAATGCATAACCTTCTTTTAAGTGTCTTTTTGTGGAGACAGGTTCTTGCAATGTAGTGAAGACTGGCCTTGGACTTACTATGTAGACCACAATGGCCACGAACTCCCAGCAATCCTCCTGCCTCGGTCTCCCGAATGTTGGGTTATGTTCCAGCGTGCCCAGCTCTTTAAGGGTTATAGTAGCAGCATTACTACTATTTTGATTGAATGTGATTATTCAAACTTTCGTACATATTTACCCAGAGGAATCCTTAATGATTACTAATAGCAAAGTCAGTTTAAAGTAAATCCTTTTAAAAAAATAAAAGACCTCTTGCACTTCAACTGTTCCAAATCCATTTATGATAAGGAAAATAACTGGTCAACATAAATATGCTTAACTCTTATGATTTAGAAAGGCTTTTTAATTAAAAAAAATCTTTTATTTATTTATTTGGTACAGGGTGTTGCTACGCAGCTCAGACTCGCAGTGATCCAAGACCCTGTAGACCCTGTACTACAACTTGACTACAGCTCCCATCTCAGCCTCCATAGTGCTGGGATTGCAGGCATGCACCACCATGCCCAGTTCTGGTGGCCAGCTTGGTATCCAGGGCCAACACAACATGTGATACTGGGGATTGAACCTGGGTCCTTGTGCTTCCCAGCAGGCTCTTAGACCACTGAGCTACTTCCCTAGCCCTTAGAAGAGATTTTACATTTATGCCTGAATGTATTTTAGTTCAACATCATTAGGAATGATGGTGTTTTGCCCTTATTATTTTGTCCAATAACAACAGTTGCTCAACTGATTTAAAATATTATAATAATGGAGCACACCCCACCCCACCCCACCCCACCCCACCCCACCCCACCCCCGTGGAAGTGGGGTTGAACTCAGGCCCCTGCGCTTGCCAGGGAAGCGATTATTCTACTGAGCCATCTCCCTGGCCCCACCTGAATTCTTTTTATCCTTTCTTTGCTCTCAGTTTGAACTAATATCCATTAGCATTTTTTATGTTTCCAGTCTCCTCGATAACTAAGCTTTCTACGAAAGTAGAGGATGGTTTTAAAGCACTTTGAAAGTCATAAGAATTTAAATACTGGTTTTTATAGTCTTTGTTACATGGGAAACAATTTATAGTATACTTGATAACACTAGTAATTGAAATATTTGTTTCAACAACTCTTTACACTTTAAATTGGGTAGCAAAATTCTTAGTAATACGGTAAGAAATTATGAAGATTTTTTAAATGAATGATAAATACTGAAAAACCATTCAATACCAGGGTACACTTTACATTACAGTATATAGAAAGCTACTTATATTATCAAGTTACAACAAAATTGTAGAATCTTAACAGTATAGTTTTTTGTACAGAATAATTAAAATACACGGTAAAATACAAACATTAGTGTTTTTCTTTCCTTCATTATAATCAAGATTCTTGTAACATGAATACTTACTTCACAACTTTGCCATACTTGGAAAATATCTGAAACAAAAGACCATACAATAATGTATAACTTGAAATAAACATCTTCAGGTTATATACACTGATCAAATTCTTTGCTATACTATATGAAAAACTTTGACCTTCAGTCTATTAAAAAGGCTGTACAAGAATAACTACAACATTCTCATTGTTACTGGAGTTGCTTGTACCTTTGTCACCTCCTAAGAAGGTACTCTATATGCAGTAGGTTGCAGGCAGATACACTGCATAGCTCTGTGTTCCCGTGTTATAACCATGGTAACTACCAACTTGACTACAGCTTCAGGTACCTTTGGGCTTAAATATCAATCTTGTGGTACACTGCTGTACTTATTCTGCATCCACAAAGCAGTCACTGTTAATGCAGGTAGAATTTAGACTGCTTGTAAAGTAAAAGTACACATAACAGAATCAATCTCTTGAATCTCCATTTTCTGCCTGTCATTAGTAAGTCAGGGGTACTTTACAGCTGGTCCTCCCTTCCCTTTTACGTCTTCAGCACCCCACTTGTAAAGTTTCAGTCAGTACCTAGATGCTTATAGCTTCCACTTACAATATTTCTTAGAAGTCTTTTAAAATCTTTTAGAATGTGAAAATATGCAACCAATAATAACAAAGTTTCACGTTCTATGATGAGTTGTACAGAGCTTCATGATTCAAAGCGAAGGGCAGTACTGGCCATGCTGGACTATGACAGCCCGTAAGCTTTCTACCCCACACTTTAATGACTTCTCATTTCACTCCTATCCAGAACCATTTCCTGAACTGAAAGCAAAATGCATTAAACTGTTAAGCTTCCGCCATGTATGTGAATTAAAAGATACTTGCTCTGAGGGTTAGGAAAGGTATCTGTTCACACTCAGCAGTTCTTTTACCCAAAACCTCTATTCTATCACCAGTTTCAAAAGTCAAGCAAGCCAAGCCTGGTGTCCTGGTGCAAACTAGTAATCCCAGAAGTGGCTGAGACAGGAGGATCACAAAATTGAACCCAACCTTGGCAATTTAGCAATTAACAAAAACTATCTCCAAAAGTATAAAATAAGTAATAAAAAGATCAAAGCAAGGAATGGTGGCACAGGTCTATAAACCTAGCACTTGGGAGGGTGAGGCGGAAGGATCACCACGATCTTGAGATCAACCTGGGCTACATACTGAGTTTAAGGCCAGTTTGACTATGCAGGGAACCCTGGTGAAAGAAAAAGAGGGAGGGAGGGTAAGAGGGAAGAAGGGGGGCAGAGACAGACAGAGACAGACAGACAGACAGACAGACAGACAAGACAGACAGACAGACAAACAGAGACAGAGACAGAGACAGAATGAGAAAGGCCCTGGGTTAAATTCACAGTATGTCTCATCCACTCCCAACTGGCTCTAAATTCTCTTTGGAAACTACAAATTTCCATTTTTTTTTTTTTTTTCACTTCTGTTTGCAAAAGATGTGGTTTAAGAGCACTATCATGTATTTATTCAGGTGTTTCCCAGGGAGTGGGGCAAGGCGCATTGTATCTCAAATAGCGGGTTCGAGATATAAAGATGGGACCATCAAAACTTACCCGGTATAAGTCGTTGTTTGTCAGGGAGAAGGGCAAGTTGGACACGTACACTGTGCTCTTACTTGGAGCCAGGCCACCACTCATTTCTAAAATGGAAAACAGGCCAACACAGAAGCACTCTAAACCAGGTATTCCTCATTGCAAGTCAAACCAAATACACAGGTAATCACGGATTCACCAATGGCGCTTCACACACCCTCCGCACATTTTAAACAACTAAAATCACTTCATCAGGGTGAAGTCAGGCTCCCCCTTCTCCAGCCACCAACAGTCCTCCTGGGGGAGACGGACCTCTAAAAAATGAAGCCCCCGAAGCTACTCTTAACTGCCCTCAGGCTGAAAGCTAGAAAGTGCATTCGCAGCCTTGGGGTACCCTGCCCGCCCCCTTCAGGGGGAGCCTGGGGCCTAGGAAACAGTCTCAACCTCCGGTTCGTGCTAAGACCTCGGCGGCCTTGCTTCTTTGTCAGAAAAGAGAGGCTAAAATTTCTCGTTAACATCGCTCTGAGGAAAATATTAAGATCGATGTAATTTACCTTCACACCTTATTTTACAACATGAACAAATTATCCACAAAAATTAACGTCATTTTGCAGTGCCGGGAGTAGAACCCAGGAACGCTCTACCAAGGAGAAACATTCCAGCGCCTTCTTTAAAAAAAGAAAAAGAAAAGCAGCTGAGAGAGGGTCCAGCCACGCGCAGGCCTCCTCCGGCGCCCCGGCCTCCCTCCCGGTCGTGGGGTTCCAGGCGCCCCCGCCGATCCAAGCTCGGCTGTGCCGGGGAAATCGCGGGCGCGGCGCGGCGCGCACCGAGGCACGAGCGACCGCAAAGGGGAACTCGGGCTGGAGCGCGCCACTTCGCCAGGCAGTGGCAAAACTCTCCGGCGCTGGGCGGC